TTGAAAGTCAAGAGTTTTGTTTCCACGCTGCACAAACAGACACAGATTTTAAATCCACAGTCGTCTCTTTAAAAGTGGCGTCTGAGTAGAAAAAAAACTAACAAGAAAACATTTCTCACAGGCCTGAACGCACGAGTACACACTCGACACACTCGACACACTCGACACACTCAACACACTCGACACACTCGAGGAAAATGCACAGCTCAGGTACATCATCTTGTTCCTCATCCTGTTTATCTTGTGTATGAATAAAGAATGTTATCTCTCATTTCCCATCTGAAGGTACAACATCAGCCACTTCATATGCGGCGCAGTGACACAGCGGCTGCGTTCCTCCTTGTCCGTCTTTTCTCCTCTTAAAAAAAAAAAAAATCAAATCCAACCTGACGTTTTCATCAGCAAATCCCCGGCGCGTTACTCCGTGAAGGCCGATTTGCTCAAGCGCGTGGCGAGTAAATGCTAAGTGCAAGACTTTGCTTTTATAGACATTGGATGAATGCTGAAGTGGAGATTTGCATGCGATGTAGACTTCTTTAAAGCCCCTTCAGACAGCAGAGAATCATCTTCCTTTTGACTGACAACCGCCTTCACTGGCTGCTGTTCCCCGAGCGAAGTCTGTCATTACTCCGACATCCAGGAGCACACCGCCAGGCTGCCGTTCCTCTGAAGCCGCTGAACGTCTCTTTCAAACAAACGGAGGGTTTTCCGATTGTAGCTGTTACACCAGAGAGAATCAGACTGAATGAGGGATTGGCAACGGTTCAACAAGACGTAGGATATAAATGTATGTGATGGTTTATTGTTTATAAGATCCCCATTGTGCTTTCGAGTCTTCCAAATAGCATCTTTCAAAACACAGTCACAAAGTACTTTACAAGACAAGATGAAACTGAGGATGAACAATAAAAATGAATGATAAAAAAACAGATTGAAAAACAGTTTAAAGGTTTAACAACATTGGGGAGGAGATATAAGAAAAGTGTGATAATGAGGATAAAACAGTTAAAAATGATCAAATGAATCCATAAGAAACATGAGAATGACTTAACATAGTTATAGATTTAAGACGTGAGAAAAGGATTCAGACCCCAAGCGCAGAAAAAAAGCAAACCTGTAAAAATGTCTTTAAGGGGGATTTAAAAGAAGCTTAAGAGATTGTGGAACGGCTAACAGAGCTTTGGCTGAGGACCTCAGGTTGTGGCTGGGCACATACGGTGTCAGTAGATCTGAAGCGCCTTAAAAGTCATCAATAAAATCTTTTCCGGGAACTCAGTGTAATAGTAATGCAACAAAATGGGAGAAATTCTGGATACGAACAGTAACACCATATAACAAGTAAATTTAACTCTTAAATAATCTAATATAAAAAAAATCTATATAATCTATTCCGTGTATCATGTCCTAACTCTTGACTCCAGCGGATTGATGTGTAGTTTGAGAAAAGTATTCAAACCCGAGAATCAGACCACATCATTTCAGACACATTTCCCCAAATTGGAGCCTGACATGTTTGCTGTTTTTGTAAATCTTTTGCTCTCCACTATAAAATTTTAAATAAAGCTTTGTGGGTTTGAAGACAGCTTGAGTGCACAGCACTAGTTTGGGGTTTAAAAGCAGAGGGGCCTCATTCATATAGTTTCAAATGCTCAAAAGAGGACTTGAAACGTGCGTGTGACACTTATGTAAAAGTTGAGATTTATAGAATCAAACTCGACAGAGAACGTGTGAGAGACTCTGACCCTGTGATGGTGAACTGAAGCCAGAGCTGATGATTTCTCCTCAGATTAAACTAATAATCATACATTATATCCACAGTGTGGTAAACACTCAGGTCAGCTGGGTTGTGTTGTGTTTGGTCTCATGAGACATTAATTATTCCATAAACACCTCCCGGTTTTTTAAAAGACCAACTCATATCTTCTTCTTTTCCATCAGTGGTTCATTATTAAACTATCGAGCGTCTGACTTGTCTCAACAAACAAACAAATTTGTGAAATTATGGAAGTTACATCTGCATTTATTTACTTAAATTAAAACACCAGAGGCTGCATTCACAAAACCTGAGGCTGGAACTAATTAACAGGCCCCTGATACATCCTGTTTAATGCTCCATAACTCTTCAACTCCTCATGTAAACATCACAGAACCACGGGTAATGGCTCAAATTAACACAACCCTTGTACCATTAAATATATAAACATAGATTATTGAATTTATTTATTTCTATGAAAACACAGGACATGGAATACACGCCTTTAAAAATAAAAAACGCAATAAAATATGTATTTAAGGAATAATTTGACATTTTGTTAAATATGTCTTTGCTGTCTGGGGGAGAGTTAGATGTTCAGACTGACGCACGTTTCTCATGTTTTGTGTTGAATATAAAGTTACAGCTAGGAGACGGTGAGCTTGGCTTTGCATAAAGACTGGAAACAGGCGGAGACAGCTCGCCTGGCTCTGTCAGCTGTGAAGTCACTGACTCACTCACGATATTTTAGATGCTTTAGGTTCGAGATGAGAAAGTTGAACCTTCTCATAAAATACTATTTTTATCTGGGTAATTGTGTTACATCATTTCTCTGTGTTTCTCTGTGTGTGTGTGTGTGTGTGTGTGTGTGTGTGTGTGTGTGTGTGTGTGTGTGTGTGTGTGTGTGTGTGTGACATTCAGCTTTTGAAAAATAGCCCCTCTCACTGAAGTACTCTACTTACAAACAATTTCTGAGTAACAGCCTCTTTACATGGCCATTTTTGTGACCTGGTGCTTTTTCAAACTCTAGTGTTTCCTCTTTTCGCTCAGTTCATTTGAAACAATGTTATTTGATCTCAAGTGGCTCCAGACCTGAAAACATTATGTCCACCATCTGCAGAGAGGAGAGGAGACTCAGGCAGGAGGACGGAGACATGAGGGGAAACATAAAGTTATCATAACTAAAGAACTATACCAATACTACTATAATAACTAAACAGCTTTAAAAGATGTGGAAAGTTTGTGTCTAAAACAAACTGGAAATACAGTAAAAATTCAATTAGAGCTTCTGAAGCACGTTCACACTGAACACTGAAGTTATGACCCTAAAACACACAGGATTATGGGTAGAGGAGAGCTTGTGGAGATTCATGTTAAAACCCTCATACATGATAAATATACCTTGACATCTTGGTTTGTTGACAGAATATATGTGATGAGGTGAAAAGATGAAGATGTTTATTAGTTTTTCAGATAGACAGAATAGAGGTGACATGTTTATGAAATAATAATAATAATTATTATTATTATTATTATAAACTTTATTAAATGGAACCTGTCAAAGTGTTTTACAATAATAAAAAAAACAGTAAATAAAAACCAAAAGCCTCTTTTAAGACAGAGCTTAAAATACTAATAATACTAATACTAATAATCATATAACTTATACATGTAATAATTGAATTTTGAACTGTTAAATCAAACAAACCTGTATTAAACATAAAGAAAAGTAAATCAGCTGAAACTGAGTATGAAAGACTAAATGATCCACGTTCATGTCAAACATACGAGTCGTATCAATGTGTAAATGTCAGTGTGCAGCTCAGTATGAAGGTAATTCAAGATAAATAAAATGCTTGTTTATTGAGTGATGATGTTGAACTGTGGAGTCGCCCTCCAGAGACTCGGAGCAGCTCTGGCTGGTTTATGTTCCATACATCTACCCGTTACAAAATCCAATTAGACTCCATCTCCACCAGCACTGTAATTATGTAATTAAAACTCCGGCTTTATTAACGATTCAATCAACATCGTCCCGACAGCATCCTGTCTGTTGCTCATCAGCTCCACACGCTCACTGCACGACAAGAAATTAACATGAACATTAAGAGAAAATCCAATTTCAACACAATAAACACAAAATCGTCATGTGACTGATTCTCTGCTCATAGATGAAACGGAGAAAACACACAAGTCCAACTGCTTCGTGTCTTTAAACGTCCATCACTGCGGTGATCAGTGAAATCCCAGCGTTCGTAGTCTTAATGAAGGAGATGGTGAATGAAACAAAACAATTTAAAGTCATGAGTTGGAGCGTCGAGCTGACAGCTCATAGAGCTAAAGCTCGGACCTGTGACTCCCTCAGTCACTGTGATGAGCGTCAGTAAAAAACATGAGAATCATAACAGACTCAGCTACTCCTCAGACTGAGCTCCATGTCCACGTCTTCAGTGAACCAGAACCTCCAGTCAGACTCAGACCCCCCAGTGATGAAACCAGACCGGCTGACATGTCTCATCAGTGTGTGTCCGAACAGCAGGCGGGGAAACATCTGTTGCATTAATGCCTCATGTCTCGCCTGTCATCACGAAAACCAGCTTGCTAACATTAGTGGATGTGAAGGCGCCACAGTGAACAGCAGAGTCACATGATCAGTCACATGATCAGTCGCTCAGAGCTGTGTCTCTGGAGCTCAGTGTTCAGAGTCCATTCCTGTTTCACAGAGTCTAATATACATGTGCTCATTATTTTACAGTGAGCCGAGAGGGACATTTAGGGCCAGTTCTTCTTTCCATAGATTTTATATTTTTATTATTTTTTAAACTTATTATCTTAAAAGATGACTATATAAGCAAATGAAATAACTTTTCATAATGGGTACATTTATTATTTTATTTTATTCTGAATAGACGGTAATGTATGAGGAAAGACTTGTAAGTAAACTGTTAATTGAAAACATAAATTGTGGTTTTGTTTACATAGTTTAGCTGTTGTGTCATCAATAATGTCTTTGGTCGGTGGGTCTGAACAGTGGCTGAAATCCAGCACATTGATTCATGAGTGACAAACAGAATCAACTCTGGAGCTTCAGCTGGCTCAGGTTTATATGAAGGTTGTATGAGAACTCTAACTAACCTGAGCTGAATCTTAGTCAAGTCTAGACCTCCAAACCCGAGCCAGATCCTGCATACTGTAAACGTGGTCCAGGGTTAGCCGAGTGTTGCTAACACCGTGTCGCGTCCCCCAGGTCTTTCCAGGACTTGGCGCGGCAGATCGACGTGGACTATGGCACGGTGAGGGACTCGGCGGTGTACGACTACTTCAGGAACAAAGGCACCAACCCTCTGGAGCAGGACAGCACCTACGCTGAGCTGTGGAGGACGATTAGCAAGAACAACGGCATGGACTACTCCGTGTCCAGCCCATCTGAGGGCATACGCAAGGTATGTGTGTGTGTGTGTGTGTGTGTGTGTGTGTGTGTGTGTGTGTGTGTGTGTGTCCGCACATGTGTTTCGGAAGTCAACTTTGAATTATCAAGCCAAAAGGTTTTATAGACCTCAGCTTTCTTTTAATGGGGACAGATTGACAAAATGTAAACAAATATAGGCTAAAAAAGTAACTCGCTGAATCAATGACAACAGTATACATCCTGTTTATATCCCCAAAAGTGTTTGAGAACTATAATTAAAAAACTTGGACGTCCGATGACTAAAACCCTCATCTGGTTAAAATATATAGTATAAAACCACCACAGTGTAAGAAGTCGATTTTAAAAGAGTGACTTAAAAATAATGAAAAAGTCAATGTGGAGCTTCAGGCAGGAAACACTGAAACACGATCATAGAGTATATGATGTCATTGACAGGCGACCGATGAAATGAACCATTACCATGATTAAAATCACAGATTTCTCTGGTTTGAGAATTGATGGAAACATTTGAGAAAATGTACGAACACGACTCAACAACATATAGAACACAGGTCTAGATGTTAACAGACATTCAAATGTGGAAAAAGTTACAGGTTATAACTGTAACTGAAAACCAACAGTGAAAAGTAGAAGTTTCAAAGACTGTGGAATGAGTTCAGTCTATTCAGATATTTGTTTATCTTCTGTATTATCTTCATCATTTTTTGTCCCCAGCTTGTAATGTAATAATGAATCAGTCACATGTATGTGGATAAAAACATACATGTATCTAGGAGACATTCGTCTCGCATCGTTTAGTCCTATGTTGTTTTATGTTTTGTTTTTTTTGTTTGCGCACATATGACACATACACACGTGTGGTCTGTCCCTGATTTTGCTGTAGTGTCAGTCATTGTGGTATACACACACACACACACACACACACACAGCTTCTGTTTTATTCACAGCAGGCAAACACACTAAGACTCCTCTGTTTACCCGTTATTTAATTGCAACAGCAGTTCCACAATACACCAATTAGTGAGGCAGTGTTGCAGTGCGTGCGTGCGTGCGTATGTGTGTGTGTGGAAACAGAAGTTGTGTATTGCTGCTGTATATTATTATGCTCATAGATCTCCCAAAAAGCCGATGACAAATTAGCGTTGGAGACAAATCGGCTCTGAGCGCATCCATTATTCAGCCATTTGCATGATAAACATCCCCCCCAGATTCTTTGACGTTTCCTCCCCAAACCGTTACGCGCACACACATTTTAATCACTTTTATTGCTATTGTCGAGTGCTTTTCCAATACAGAGCTGCTTGCCCCCCCCCCCCGGCTGCCAGAGAGATCCACATTTACCCAGACTGCACTGAGAGCACGGTCAGACTCTGATCACTCTGATCTTTAATTTTCATCTCTGAGAACAGTATGTGGTGTAAACAAGCCCTCAGAGAGCTCCTCCATCATTACCTGAGCACTGCCCAGCTGTAACACCGACGCTGGATGTCTTTATAATGACAGTGTCCTCTGCTCTGATCAGTGTCCACTCCACTGACTCAGAATCAGAGAGCGTGCAGATGAAGTGGGTTCTCAGTGCAGCAACAAAAACAACCCAATCACCAGAGAGAGATGTCAATACTGGACTGGAATCTGCAGAAACACAGACTTCACTTTTTATAGGATCTGATAAGAGTGTGTTGAACTGTGGTGTGTTCAGGGTCAGGAGAGGTCAGGACTTTATTAGACCGACGCGTTCCAGCTTGTTGCCTTCATCAGGGTCATCTTATAACATATTAAAGATAACATTTAAATAGAACAGATATGAAACAAAAAAATACAAAACAGCCAATCATATGTAAACACACGTATCTGCCCACCAGACTTCTTCAAAAGTGGGTCATGTGACTTCAGGCCAACCGTTGTCTCTGGCTGGTGGGGAAAGTCCAGTACGGGACATGGGTGCCACCATTTTTGGTTCATAGCCTTGTCCCAAAATGTGTCCATTTGATGTGGCATAGCCCCCACCCAAAAAACTTTAAATGTAAAAAAAAAAAAAATAAAAACAAAAGTGTTATATATGTGAAACAAAGATACAACATAAAAATAAAAATGACATAAGTCATCATAAAAATACATAAATATGTTAAGGTCAGGGTTTTAGCTTTAGAAGAGGAAACAGAAGTAAACAGTCAGGCTTTATAGGTCCTGATCTGAGTCCTTTAAGACCAGGTATATTAACTGTATCTTCATGTAAAAATAAATCTGTATCTGACACACTGAAATAACAGCTGTAGATACTAAATCTCACACTTTTTTATTTCTTTATTTCTCCTGGTTCAAAACCCTCAAAGTTCCTGAGCTTAAATAGTTGATTTGATATGAATGAAACATCAGCTTGAGAATCTGAGCCTGAAAGTGATCCAGAATAGAGACATAGCAGCAGCTCCTGGTACAGTACTCACTGAGTTTCTCTTCAGTTGGAATGTTGTATATTACTGCTGTTCGGCAGATCATTTCGTGACTGGAGACGATTTTTTGTTCTTGCTCATCTGTGCAGTGTTATCTCTTCAGATGACTCCTCATGTCATTGCTCAGTCAGATTGTTCTTTACTTTGATGTGAGTTCAGTACAGAGGAGTGGGGGGATGTCTCTATTTGCAGTGTGTGTGCCGCAGCTCTGACTCTGACTGTGCGTCTCCTTTGAGGCTTTGTGTCCTTTTTTGTCCTCCTTTGATTCATAAGAACCTTTTTCCCGCTGAACGCCCCTCCACCCAGCGTGTCGTCACGTAGCTGAGCGTCTTTGTGGGGTTCTGCAAACACTGCACAGCTTTGTCTCCCAGTGTCACCTGGAGAAAGAAGAAAACACACACTCTCTCACACACACACACACACACACACACGGATGATGAGACGCAAATACAAAGAAGCTCCAGCAGCAGCAGCAGCAGCAACAGAGCGTCAATGAGACGTGACGTGGTAATTAGGCTGTAACAGCATGAAAGCATCTAAAGACTGCAGTCTGTTACAATACAGGGAAGGAGGTGTTCAAACACTTTGTGTATACACATACACACACACACACAGTTAGCAGTGACAGTGAAGGCAGATGCTCCTGCAGCAGCTCTGCTGACACAGCGAAAACATCCACATCCTCATCCACTTACACTCCACCTGCTGCTGCTTTTTATTTTTTTGCATCTTAATGTCCCCTCTCCTCCTTTTCTTCCTCACCCAATCACCTCAACCAGTAGAGAGAGGAATAACCTCAGAGTTACATTCACACCTGGTTGTATAAAGTTGACAGGAAGGTGTTAGACACTGAATTATGGATACAAAATCATGCACCTTTTATCGTGACCTTGTGTTTAATAACTCTAATTTTCATTTTCATATGGGATGTATGATGAATCAGTGCCTCAAACAACAGCATTTATAACCTTGGAATGTCCGTCCCTCGATGAGCCTTTAAAACTGAACAATAAAAATTCAAACGAAACACAAACAACGGTAAAATAGAAGTCATATATTTTTGGAAATTCAAGTAAAAATAGAAGAACAGGTCAAAATCATTTTCTGGGCTTAATATTTTATGTTTTTTCTTAATAACTGCAGTTCATGATAAATTTCATTCAGACCATCTTTCTGTCCAACACTTTGGTCCAGAACAAAACCACATCCTGAAAAATCCCAGGACGGACTTTCATGTGGTTTAAACGTCATGGTCTCCACAGGATGACTCCTGATGAGCCAGTTCTTTTTCATGTAGTATAAAAGCCATGTGGGTAAAAAAAATCAACTTGTCCATCAGTGTCAAGCTACATCTCACGATTATTTTCATTGTCAATTAATCTGCTAATGATTTAATCCAGTGGTTTTGAAGCAGTGCTTTTATTTTGGAGTACCTTCTGCTAGAACTTCCCGCTTTACAGTACAAGAAGACTCCTGATGACTGTCAGCTGTTGTGAACCATGCCTTTTTATAGAATAATAAAACAAATAATCAGTTAAATTTTAATAGATTGATTATCTATAAATTGGCAGAAAACAGTGAAAATTTTAAATCACAAGTTCCCAGACACAAAAATATTCCATTTATAATGTAAAAGCAGGAAATCTTTGCATTTCAGAAGCTGGAACCTGAAAATTTATGACATTTTTTTGAATGAGTTTCCGACTTTGTTTCTGTTGACTGACAAATCAATTCATTCATTGATGAATCTACTAATTGTTTCAGCTTCATATAACTGAACTTTTTATCTCAGTAAAAGTTCATCACTTTCAACTACAGGTGACTAAAATTGCAGCTGACTGGTCGGTCTCAGACAAGTCCAGTGTTTCCATAGAAACTAGAACAAAAACCTGGAGAGGTGTTTTCCAGTCTGTAACAAACACCAGCCTGTAAACAAACCATCATCTGTGTGCTTTGTTTTCCCTCTGCCTTTGTCTGCAGGCGAAGAAGAGTCCCTACGCCTTCCTGTGGGACATGGCGGTGCTAGAGTACGCCGCCCTGACGGACGACGACTGCACCATCACCGTGTCAGGAAACAGCATGAGCAGTAAAGGCTACGGCATCGCCATGCAGCACGGCAGCCCCTACAGAGACCTGTTCTCACAGAAGTAAGTGACTCCGCCTTCACCCAGCAGCACAGGACGAGCAGACAACTCTCTTTTTATTCCAGCAGCTCGCCTGGAGACGGCAGCGTTTTACCTGCCATTAAGATAACATATATGGAGGACCAAGGATGTCACAGGAAAAGTAATAAAACATTTCCTCAATTTCATGTTTTAATAGACATTGAAAATAGTAATTGTAAAAACAATTTATAAGTGAAAGATGAATCCATCCAGTTTTATTCTGGATTTGTAAAAAACCTGAAGTATTTATTGATGGATTTATCGTTCATTCATAAATTCTTTTTACAATTGCTATTTTTAATAACTACCTCTACACTATGACGTTTTAATACCATGCCATACTATACTATGACGTCACATACTAGGTTTTGACCAAGTCCTGTTTACTTTCTTAAAAGTGAAAACACTGTACATGTGATTTTAAGCTCAATCAAACTTTATTTAAGTTACATTTACACACACAGTTCATGCATGAAGTGAATCAGCTGAAGGGCAGAAGGACTTCCGGTCTTGGTGCCAGATACCACAGCACACCTTCAGAGTTCTTGTGGAGTTCATGCCTCGACGGGTCAGAGCTGTTTTGGCAGCAAAAGGGGGACCTACACAATATTACGCAGGTGGTCATAATGTTACGGCTGATCGGTGTACATACAGTCAGCCATACACACATGTATAGTATATCATAAAAAACGTCATTGTATAGTAAGTCATAAAGATGCCATAGAATAACATACATAGATAGATATATACTTTATTTCTTCCTGATGGGAAATTCAGGCTGCTACTAATTATAATACTTAATAATAACAATAATGGTTCAGTAGTCCAGGTCAGGAGCCACTGCCTTTGCCTGAGGTGAAAGTACAAATTTAAAAGTACATATTTTATATAAAAGTACATGTTTAAAGACAAGGAGCAGCAATGACACCTTTAAAGAAATGAATGGGAAACATATTCATAGTTTACAGAGAGAATGGAAAGAGACAGTGCTGCTCAGTCATAGCTGTAAACCTGAGGGTGATGTGGCCTGGAGGTCCAGGCAGAGTGATTATTGACTGTTGGGTGTTGAGTGTTGTTGCGTTGATGGACAGTGAGAGAGAGAAAATGTTAAGATGCAGACAGTGTGTGTCTCTGCTGCAGCTTTTTTTGTGCGGTCAAACAAAGGCTGACGGGGAGTTAATGATGAAGGTCGGAGGCTTTTGTCTGAGTTTGATCCTCTGTGTTGACTTAAGTCGTCATTATCAGCCTGTAAATCCTCTGATGTGAGTGAAGGGTCTGAGCCAATTACAACAGGCTGGTGTTAAATTCCTGTGAAGGAGGGGACACGTTGACTGGAGGAGGAGGAGGTGTGTTGCAGGTGTTGGAAACGTGTGGCTGTTTTAATGGTTTTGAGCGGTGCTGAGACTTGACTTCTGCAGGCAATTTTTACTCTGCATTAAATCAATAACAGTGCTCAATGCTAAAGTCAATTAAGCTCACATGAAACGAGCTTGTGTTTAGCAGCGCCGTTGTGAGGCAAATGAGATTATTCACGGTGTGATGTGTAAACAGAGGGACGTGTGCTAATTACTTATTTGATTTTGCAAGGCAGATGTCTCTACAGAAGCTGCAAATTTTTCAGGAAATTCAATTATCTCCTTGAGTCTGAGTTGAAGATGAAATCAGCGAGCCGAGGAGTGAAACCTCGTCTCCTCTCTCTTTCCCAAACACAAATTGATCCCAGTGCGAGTTTAAGAATGGCGTAGATCATTTAGTAAATCTCCACATTATTACATCATGAATTAACGGTGTGAGGAGTAGCAGCAGCTCCTCAAAATGTGAAAACTTTCTCATCCGTCTCATATTGATCGGCTCCCAGAGAGCAGACAGGAAGTCGGTGGAAAAAGAAACATAATTTGACAAACTTAAACACAGGAAAGTGGAGCCTGAACATTTCTTATCATTTGGGCTAAAAAGTGAAGAAGTATTTTAGACGTTAAAGTTTCCAGTTTACTGATAAAAACATGAATAATCAATTCTGAGTTTGGTGAAGCACAGGTTTGTCACAGGGCGTTCCATTGATCAGATTCTCACTAGAGTAGGAAACTATTCATTTTCATTAAAGGTTAAAGTGGCAATAGATGTTGTATTATAATTATGGCATTGGTGTTGGCACTGCTGTCACAAATGCTGAATGTAACAGAAAAAAATGAAGTTACATTATTTGCAGTTTTTAGAGAGGCCATCACCAGGAAACATGTTCTTTGTTTAGTTTTTCACACAGACACTGAATCATAGTTGTTTGTTTCTGGCTGCTAGCAGTAGCATTAGCAACATGGCTACTGCTATCACATTACAGAGCAAGAAACAACTGTAAGTTGAAGTAGAAACTGATCTCAGTGCTGAGATAAAGGCAGAGCAAAACTCCTGGCTGTGTTAATAAGTAGCAGGTTTAATTACTTAATGATCTAGCACAGTGGTTCCCAACCTATGGGCTGGGGCCCACTGGTGGGCCACGAAGGTATTGCAAGTGGGCCATCAAATCACCATCAACGGAAAAATTTTGGTGAAAAGATGTAATTATTTAAAACTAATGAAAATATAAATAACATTTTTAAAAGTTTTAAAATGAAATGATCTTTAAAAACATAAAAAAAATGTTGAAAAGTTCATGTCATTATTTTTTATTCTCATTTAAGGTCCATCACTGTGATAGGAACTTTTATGTTGTCACCGGCTGCACTGCATCAAATATTTGTTGACTCAGTCTGATTGAACAGATTACATCTATGACAAAGAATCAAAGTTACTGGTTACCAAAAGGAGCTAAAGGAAAGAGAGTCAAGAGACAGATTATCAAAATAAGAGATTGCAATGTTACGGGGTCAGATGTGGGCCATCGTTTTGAGATTTTTGAAGTGGGCCTTGAGTTGGAAAAGGCTGGGAGCCACTGATCTAGCAGAAATAAGGACAACTGAATGTTGGTTTGGAGCTCTCTCCATAGTTGGATATTGGATCCACCAGGATTTGTCCTGGACCGTAAATAAAAAAGTTTTTACTGGGCCTCTCTCTGGTTCCAGCTGGTTCTTTCCATCCAGTGATGATCTGAGCTTCTCTCTTGTTTTACTTCGGTTTCTGTCACTCTCCCTCTTCGCCTTTCTTGCCTCCTCCGACAACGGGGATCTTTTTCTTCTGCTAGTGAGAGTTTCCACGGTTTCCTCTGTCTGCCATATCTTCCACCAGGGGAAATCAAACACTGTCCTCTTTATGTTTTGGTTGTGCAGTGGCAGGTCTGCTTCCTTTGTGCCATAAATTGAGCCGTACTTTTTCCATGACGTTTTGTGCCTGGTGGCAGAAAGAATTACAAAGTGAAAGTGAGGCTTTCAGGGAACCAATCTAAACACAGATGGTGTCGTTATTCTACAGCCATTACAGTGTGATCAACATTTACTTCATAATGATGAGTTAAAGAAAAAAACTTGTCTATTGTCATTTTAAAATGGATCTGAGTTTAAAGCTTCACAGGCTGGAGGAACTTGCCCCCCCCCCCCAAGTGTAAATGGCTGTGTGATTTGGTGTGTGGAATGAGAAGCAGTGGGGCTCAGAGACCCGAGGATCCTGGAAGTCTCTGAACTCTCTGTCTGAAGTTGAGAGAGGAGCAGCTTCAGTGCAGCAGCTCACAGCTGGAGCTCAGAGAAGATGTTTGATGTGTGGCGCACACGGTCGCCGACTCCTCAACACATGAACCGGAGAAAAAAAACAACACACAAACACAAACAGTGATTGTGAGGTTTGAGGCCAACAACAGCAGCACTAATAGAGATGTTAACATAAAGCATTAGCTGCTGCACTGCTGAGCTGCGGCACATTATCACCAGAGCAGCCGTGCTGAGGGGAGCGGGCTCTCTGGGATGTGTTTGTGCGCCTCGTTGCTGCGTGGGAGGGACGCCTGGGGCCCGAGAGCAACTCCACATCCAAAATGTCATTTACACCTCCTCCAGCCCTGCATTTATCTGACTCTCCCTCCTGTCCTGTCAGCTTCCATCTGCATCTCTCCTTCATCCCCTCTCTCTCCAGCTCTCTGAGCTCCTCTCTCTCTCTCTTGTCGGGAAAATCCCATTTGTCAGAGCTGCTCTTTAAAGCTTTGAGACGGTCCGCTTTGTAAGTGATGAGAGACCAGATCAGATCACCTGAGGGGAGGACCGGGCTCCAGCAGTACAGACATGGACAGTCAGAGTGTGAGGACAGTTCTGTTGTAGCTTTGTACTCAACAAACTGAATGAGCATCTGTCAGTTTAAAGGTACAGGAGGATGTTCACATGTGAACAGTGCAGCACCTTCTTACCATCTGTGTGGTCTGGACAAAAAGGGCTGAACATTGAACACAGTTCATCTGATGTGGATGTAAACACCCTTAAATTAAAAGAGAGGTTATGATCACATGCCACATGTGTCTTGCAGGTTGTTTGTCATCAGATACAACCCACAGGAGCGTTTCCTCTCCCCCCACAGCAGCAGGAGATCACACTGTAATAAACTGTAGAAAAACTGCTGGTAAAGGTTTTTAAAGTTAGAGGAGAGATCATAGTTTGGGTTAAACAAGTACTTTGTTAAGGTTGGAGGACTTTGTTACAAAAGGTCAAAGGACTCAAGGTCATGGTTCTAGGATGATTGTGGTAAACTGGAAACAACAGGCTCTCTGTTAAAGTCCAGTGCTTTGTGGAGGTGTCCATCCTGACCTCCCCCTACATGGACTTTGTTGCTCTATAACCTGACTTCCTGAGTCAGAGCACAGAGGGCTCTGATTGGTCAGCTTGCCAGCAACTACCATGGCAACGACACTCCACATGTCTTATGTAAACAAACAGTTGTGGCGGCTTCGGTCCTGCCTTATCGTTTGAGCAAGAGCCCGATCCTGAACCGGAAAAAAGGACTGACCCGATCCGCCTTCACAAGCTGGACTGGAGCGGAAACCAAGCGTACCCACTGTCAGGCAGCCAGAA